TGTTTTAATTAGGTTGAACCGTATTACACTGATAAATAGTCACATAACTGATGACATATATGTTATTTAGTCTGAAATCTGTAGGTATATTTTTAAAAGTGAAATGGTTATCTGACTTCCTCTGATATACATTTTGTTGAGTTCTCAAAATGCATAAATGCTTTCTGAGTTATTCATGTTCGCTGTTCACAATTATCCATAAATCTTCTAACGTTTGGAATGTTCGATAAAGAATTCGACCATTTTTAAAATAAAAATGTCTTATATGAACTTTTGACAACATTTGATACTAAATAGTAAGTGTTATAAGCTCATATATAATTCACATGCTATGTTTTTGATTACTTACATTCATTTTTCCACAGCTTGAATTGAGTATTCAAAACTTTATACTTGATGATAATGCATAATGATTTTACATTAGGGGAGTACACCTACTTTCTCTTTTCATGCTACTATGAAGTGTAAATTGAATCAATGAGCTGCTGTGCAATGTACTACTTTGATTTTGTCTCTGTTTATCCTCTCAAATTAGTTTGACTTCGGTATAATATAAATGAAAACAAAAAACGTTATTCACTCTGAACCAGAATAACAGTTGCTAAACCCGCGAAGTGCCAAGATTTGTGAATAAAAATTTAACCTTTATTCACCAATGAAAGGGAGTAAGGTTTATTTCTCACAGCGCGGTTGAATTTAGTTTTTAAGTAATTCATTGACTTTTAATTGTGCCGTAGATGAAGTAATTTTCTTCAGAAGTTTTCATCAAAGATTTTATTCATCACAGACAGAGATCAGCTGGATATATGTGTCTTATTATAAAAGTCGTCAGAGGATTTTAAGCAGTTCTCAAAATGATTTCAGTCTGTGATGAATACCACATTGGGACCAAGAAAATCTTATTGGTCTATAAATTGAAACTGTCATTGGTTTAATGTAAAAGAGAATTTCATGCTCTGCAGAACACGCAACTGATTAGTAATTTGTGCATCAGACGTATTTTCTTCAGACTTTTAAAATAACAGGGACTATATTGTATGCAACTAGTAAATACGTTTGTCGAATTCAGTATAAACTAACAACTGACTTCGAAATTTATTTCCTGATGTTCTGATCTGAAGCAGTAACTTACAAATGTCAATAAGGTCGGAAAAATAAGGGCAGATATTCACTAATAACACTGATATATTGCTACGCTTCGTCACTTAGTGGCAGAAGGCAGAAAATTTGGAAGACTGGATTTGAACCCTGTTGTTACTGCACACATCAACACCTGACGCACCTGAGGTTGACACTCCATCAGGTCATGGACAAGCACTGCTTTTTAGTCATGAACTACAAAGAAAGAATCACCTACTGACTTCTAGTTTTTGAAAGATCCTCTAGACGGAGCTCATTGTTGATAAAAGCCACTTCTAAACAGATACCTTAAAATCTACGCAAAATTAAAGTTTACTGTCAGTTCTATTTCTGTATAATAATCACTACAATCAGTATCGTCATCATCATTTATGCTAAGATCATCTTCTTCATATTATCGAGAATCATCACGCGAATATACCATCTGTTTTATTACCCTAGTGAATACAGTCTTTCGACTATCAAAATAAGTCAAGGAAAAATTTAATACTCTTATGAGAAGAAATTTCTCCCATCCAGTTTGATATCATATTCATATACACAATATCTTATTCATCCTACACTGCATTGATAATATTTCTTAGTTCGTTCAATACCTTATAGGAATTGTACAATGAGTGGAGGTATGTGGACCATATTGTACGTGTGTCGTCGACGTGTGTGCGTGTGTGTCTGCCTGTGTAGACATTTGATGGAATCAGATGACAAAAGGTTAACAGCTAGAAAACAAGTGTGGTTCGACTTTTTATAATTTTACTTCATATTTTTAACGAGAAAAGAAAAACAAAACTGAAAATTATTTTTTTAAAGGAAAACTTTTCTAAAACTAAGCAAATAATGAAATTTATCCTTCTTTCTGTTTTATAAACGAAATAGAAGGAAAGATAGAGAGGGCAAGAAGTGCTGAGGTATCATGGGAGCAATTCAAGATGAGTAGATTAAATCTGACATTATAGACGGTTTGATTTATCTCGGGTATATTTTTCTTGGTATTTAGTTGAACTATTTCCCTCTGATGAGGAGTTTTGTATTTAGACGATAAATAACAGAGGGATAGATGAAACGGTATAAACGCCTGAGATAGTAGCAGGTGAAGTGAGGCAAACGAAATGAGTAATAGTGGACTTAGTAGAAGTTGTAACAACTACTAACTGCAAATACCAGCATTTAAATACAACTAGAAGTAGTGGTAGTATCAAGACTATGCCAGTCACCGTTACATCTATTTCAAATAGATGAGTAAGATATACGCTTTTATAAGGGAAAGAAAAATTCATTCATCTCAGAATCGAAATGAAGAACACATACAATCTAGGGAAGAACAGAATCCACTCAGTCTTTTCCAGATCTTTCTGATGTTCATCAGGATCAAGTATATTGATGATTCGTAGTTCTTGATATATGTATATAGCTTAGAAAGGTAAAAAGAAAACGTCCTTCTCCATTTCAAAGGTGGAAAAAAGAAAAGAGAATACAGATATGGGTGCATACACACAAATAAATAAGCATATGTGCACAATGAAAGAGATTTTTCAACATACAAAAAATAATTCACTTTACTAAAGAATATTACTGAATTAAAACTGAAATCAGTTTGTTCAAATTTCAACATTTAGGAGAATAAAATGAGTTAACAACAAAAAGTTGAAAATTTTTAAGATTTTGGATACTGACAGATAAGATTCAAGCCAATTGTGTCCTCAAAATGGCTGAGTGTTAGTATTACTGAAGTTTCTTCTTTTCCTACTGGTAATATTATTACTAGTATCATACAGTTAATATTATTGTTCCACTAAACTGCATACATAGAAATATACAAAACTCTAACTAGAAAATACTTCTTACCTAAAGAATGCCATCAACTAAAAAGCACTAAACGCCAATGTAGACTGCACTGCTGTTACATCCTCGTTTCATACTATTAGTTTGCTTGCTTTTTCGAAGTCATTTTACTCTGGATTCTAGAATTTTCTTATCCTTTCATCGTTATCAGATCAGGACCTAAAAATTGCATACTTCAGTTTTAGTTTTTATCGACTTATATTACGTAAAATAGCCCATTTCATAATTGAATAGCTGCGTAATTCTCAGTCAAAAATATGTACAAAAAAAGACGAGTACAACGTTAACTTGATGATGGAACTTGTCATTTACTTCTACGGAAATCAGTTTCCGCGTATCATAACATTCTCCTATCGTATACAAGAGATTCCTAATGAGCTTATTCCTTACTTCAGTTTAACGACAACCGATCATTTTCACGGTCTTTGACAACAGTAATTGGGCATCATTTGGAGAAATTATTCAAAGCTATGACCAGAAGTTTAATACTTAACGTCTTCATGCAGAAGTAGGACTCTAATTTGTGTTCATTACTGTCGTTTATTTCCTTCTTAAGAAGAACATACTCTTTACAATGTAATTTATTCATAAAAGTTAGAGTGACAAAAGTTATTAAAACCTCATGTTAAAAGTTTTTATACGCAGCCCACCACGTAGTTCATTTTATTATTATTATTATTATCATGATTTGCAACTTTTGTAGCTCAAAAGAAGTCTGTATCTACATTATGTTCAATTATTAGATGGTTGGCAGTAATCGGTGGGTCTCACTTGTGACTTGTATTTGCGGCTTGTTTGTTCTCATTGGTAAGACGTGACTGCAACTTCAAGGTTTTCAGTTTTACCCTCAGAGATCTGAATTTTTGCCACAGCTATTCACATCATGACTGAATTTCTGTAGGACTTGATTATTTATTGGAAAATAACCATAGCCATTTTGACGATTTTTCTAGCCTGCTAACCACATTATAAACTTGATCGACAGTATTTGGCAAGCTTTTGGGACTTGACAACATGACAGAGAATACTCTTTAGTGGTCAGGCAATATTTCCATTTCCATTGTTTTACTTAAAGTGCGAACAGAAGTCACTTCGGTTAGTGTACAGTAAATAAGATTCCAAAAGTAATTATCACATAGCAGTGGCCTCAGTGGAACAGATGAATACTTTTGATTTAAAGTAATTAGGTTCTGTAAAATAAATGTCTTGCAAATCAGATTTCGTTTTATTGCATTTTTTAAGGGAAACCAAGTTGTGTCTGAATTTAGTAGATAATGGTATATACATCGCGGTAAATTACTAATAATTCATGAGTTCAAACCACTGAAAGTCATGATTACGTACAGGAATAAGGTGTGGAAGACGTCTAAATTCGTTTGAATTGAACAGATGGAGACCTTTAATGTTCAGATTTCACACCTGTTGCCATAAATCATACAGTTGTGAGCACACTTTTAAGTTCTAAAATATATTTTACTGTCTCAGTGTTTTCCTTCTTGACTTCCGTTTTATTAATACTGACCATCAGACAAGTATCTTTTTTTGAGTAGTTAGTGCTTTTCACTGTGAAATAGGTGTAAAAACTTAGGTTTAGTTCACATACTTTCGACTTCGTCTGGGTTTTATTACTGAACTCTCTAAAAGATTTTGCTTTGAACTCCATTTATCATGGGAGCAAATGAAGTCTTTCAAATTTTATACGTTAAAAAAAACAACAAACATTTAACGAAAAAAGGACAATAATTCAGTAACCCTTTTGTTCTAGTCCAAAACTAGATTTAATTCTCTTTCTATTCCATTAGAAACTGCAGTATCAAATATGGAATGAATCTTTTTACTTCACCAAGTAATTAAATAATGTGTAGTAAATGGTAATTTTTATATAGTTTGACTCCTACAGGATACATGCTTATCTAAGACATTAGTTGGAGTACTTATTCTCAAAAGGTTATCCGATATTTAGTTGTGCTGTAATTCCCTTTTTGAATTGCACATCTCTCTGTTTTGTTAACTTTCAGTTTATCATATCACGTGACGGTAATTGTGGTTTAAACTACGAACATTCGGTTGCTGAAGGTATTGCTGTAGTGAGATTGATAGAACACATCCTTCAGTACATGTAAGTTACTAAGGCCTTTTGATATAAAATGAAAATGATCAACATATTCAATTTACGACATGTTTGGCTCAATGATAGTGTTTACAGCCCTTTTTGAATTTTTATTATTCTTGTTATATTCTCTTTATATGATCTGAAAGATGAAACTTTTACTAATTCTGTACATAAAATACAAATCCAGAAGATAAATTCTTTTTGAAACTGCAAAGGTAGAGTTCTTCATTACTCCACCAAAGAAACTGTGAGTGACCTAGGCATATTCTTTCAACGAGCTTTGTTTCAAAACTTCTGTAATATTAACAGTTGGAAATAACTGACCGATTGTATCCTCTGAGATAGACGGTTTGGTCAGGGAGTTTTTGTTGTCATTCTGTAAAGCGTTATTGGGATTAATTCCTTACAAGTTATCTAAAAACACTTCTGTGATTAACAGTTTATCACTGTTACCTCTGTGGTATAAATTATTGGTTCAGGTGTTCAACGTTTGGTTGTCAAGTCTCAGATTAATTCCCCCTATAATTATGTTGGCCTCTATAGAAGGAGAGGCTCTAAAAACCTTGTAACTTATGGATAAAATAAAACTGGCTTGGTTCAGTTTAGTTTAATTGTTACCTAGAAAATTAAAGACCCACCTGAAATGTAGCTCTCGCTTACTGTCACAATTGGGTTAATATAAGGAAACAAAATAATAGCAATAAGTTAATAATATGCAATGATATAATAATATTCTACATGTTTGGTTCTTTTATGTTAAAGTCGTTCTATTTAAAAGTCAAATAAAATGCTAGATGGTAGCAAAGTTTCATTTTAATGGATGCATGGTTATCCTTAAAACTAGACTAAAGAATGAAATTTTATTTCAACTAAGTAGCTGCAGTAGGCATTAGTTCCAGGTAAAACAGATGTGTATAGGATTAACGATAACAGCGATTTGATTGCTGTAAGCAAAAATGAATACCCAAGGAGGATAAGTAAGTCTGAAAGTGAATTTAGATAATGGCAGCATGCTAACTGAAGGCCCACCTCCTCAATGATGATAGAAGTCTGAATACAATCATATTTTAAGAAATATGAGATGTATAATACATCACTTTGTTTTTCGAAGAGTTTCTCAAGATTAGTTGATGTCACTCGGAGAAGTAGTAAACATCAGTTTGATACTAGTTTTCTGACACCTCAGTAGTGCTAAACCAAGATGGTGTGCGAGGTCTAGCCAGCGGTCATGATGAGTAAGTTGTTATTCAGTCACTGATTTGTTATTTAATTGTCTGCTATTTCCAGCTTCAATTGGTTTGTATCATAGTGCGGCGACTACGAGATATCATAAATCGGTATAAATCCTCGCTTCCGAATCAGCTGACCTAACTATTTTCTCCCCAACAGACGTTAAGTGTACGCAGTTGGCTTTATCTGGAGATTACTTCTAGTGCCTTTAAATTCATCTCTATTAAATAATACTCTTCACTTTAAAACCAAAAGCTACCTAGGTCGCAAATAAATCTTGGCGAATTCAGAAAGTCTGGTGCTCTGTAGTGTTTTCCATACACATTGGTTTTGCACTGGATTTGCCACAATATCAACTAGAAGATAAAAGATTAACTAAGGTCTAACTATGTGTCCTACAGGTAGCAAAAGGAATACGAAGAAATATAATGATTACTCCATGCAAACATTTATTGTCTTCATAGCACATTTATGCAGGCGTTTTTATGATCTGTGATAAACACTGGAGTTAGTATTGCATTCAGAAGTTACGCACCATGATAACAGATACCTCATAGCAAACACATCTCCCCTGTATAAATTAGGGAAATATTGGGGTGAGAAGCTATTTCGTGTACTAACGCGCTAAAATATCTTAAAGTTGAGTGTTAAGGATCAATCAGTAAAAAATGCTGTTTACACTAATTTCGTGCCTTCTAGTCTTCATCATTAAGGTGCATCTGTGACCATGCGGAAAAGAGTGTTACTTTGGTGATTTAGGAGATGCATCACTCAGTGCTTAAGTCATAGGACTCATCGTTAAGTTATTCAAGTCAACTAAGTACGCTACAATACTAAGCAATTTTCTAATCCAAAAAACTTCATGTTCGTTGGAAATATTCCAAATCATAGAAGAGTAATTTTCCTCAGAAATGCTTATTTTCCTACGAGGAAATAATAATATTTGTTCAAATCACAGGAAAGAAGTTAAACGATGGAAGTTAGTTCGATTTCCATCTGTATGTGAGTTGGCATTTCCAAGAAGACTGAAATGGAATTTAGACAATAGTACAAAATCAATGATTGATTATGCTCTCAGTGAAATTGATAAGTAAGTACATTTTATCTACTAACTTCATGAAATATCGTATTCTAATTATTGCTGTGTGCTTTAGTTAACTGTCTTAGTTGTATTGCTTTCTCTGAGTTGGATGATTTAATCGTGATGCTTTTATTGTCTTCCAACTAAAGCTAGTACTGATGTCGTTTTCTAAAAGGTCAATGAAAGCTTTGCGATTAAACCACACAGTTCAGGGAAGGAAAGGCAACCGAGGTCATTCACTTGAGCCACTAATATTCTGGATAACTTAGTTAACTAGTGAAACTATAAAAACAGTTTATTATTTGTTGGTAAAAGGTAAACTACCGAAAGTTGCAGCCAAAAACCATGAATTTTTTTGCGCCAAATACGTAGCCAGCAAAAGCGGTTACATATAACTTGTAATGCAAAGTATTCATAAAAATATTTGTTTAATATGATACACATTGATGCCGTACTTTTTTCTTAACTTAGTCGCAGTTTGGCACAGTTTGACTGCAATAATTATATCAGAGCTAAACTGTTAAAAATACAACAACACTTGATCAGAAGATTATTTACCAACTCTTTTCTTAATAACCAAGAATATATAATTAATTTCAGTTAACCTTTTTTTAGCTCCAAAGTTGGCGATTATCTTAGAAGTAGTGCCTATGATTCAAGATCCGTGGCATCTTTCATAAATTTGCAACAAAAGGTGTCTGCAACGGGTCCAATACTTCTAATTTACGCATATTCCACCTTGTACTGGAAAACAACAATTCGGACAGAAATAACATGTATATTGACTGTAAAACATTAAAAATAGAGCATTGAACTTATCGACAAATACAAAAAATCCTCGTCATAATGAAGAATACTAATTTTTGTCTGCATAAACGTAGATACTTAGTTTATAGTTCATTTCTTTATAAAGTATAATAATAAAGATTTCGGAGGTCTTCAGGCCAATTGCATACTACTAATTCAACTTCCTCTATAATTTAAAGAGTCTGATGCTAAAATGAATTTAGACTGACGTTCTAAAAAACAGAAAAAATTGATTTTACTGATCAAACGCTCTTCAGCGAAAACAGTAGTGTTACTTCTGTCCGTTTCATTGGAAACCAAATGAATCCCTATTTTGTTAAGCCGGATTATGTAGTCAGGAACTATGATCAACACCCTTCTTTGAATGACCCAAAATGTTAAAAAAGCAAAACTCTGCATGGAATAGAGGCTTTAACTTAGTAATGCCATATATGGCAGATATCCTTATTTGTTCGTAACCTAATTAGGCAATAATTACCAGTTCAACCCACAACTACTGACTGAATTCATAATACTCGGAGGCCTTAGCTCTCTTTTCTTACAGAATAGTTAGATTTTTTACCTTGAGTCTAGGTTGTATTAAAAAACCTTCACTCTGGTGTCATACTATTCCTTATATGAATTCGATTACAACGAAGAAAATCACTGATAAGTGTGGCTTTATACTGGGCAATAAAATTTTCAAGCTTGTGAATGTCAAAATAAAAAGCTGCCTTGACTGACACAGATGTGTGAGTAATCCCCCTAAAATGATTTCCATTGAAGACACACTACTCAAAACAGTTTATTGCAAAAGCTCACAACGTAAAGAACAAATCTCACAGTTAGGCTTTCCTATTCCAAGTTAGATGTCATCAAGTTTAAAAAGTTCTTAATAAACTAACTAAATCCCTGAAATAACTGAATTAAGCTTCTAATTAATTAAACCGATAACAGAATAGATTAAATCTTATACGAAATTGAATAATGAAATTTTTGCGGTAAATTTCAATTTAAGAAGCCTAATCAAGTGGCAAATATTTTTCTTCGTTAAAAAAATTGTGAACCGAAAAATACTGGACTACAAAAATATACTTCAGAGATAAATCAGGAAAGTAAAAAAATTTCTAGAATGAATTTCAATAACAGTTTCCATATTACTTGCTAATTGATTGAAAAATTAACTTACTTATGATAACGTACTGAAGCCTCATTCATTTCCTTAGTGTTATTCAGTGATCCTTGACTATGAAACGCAGTGTTTCCATTTTGCTTCATATAGACTTTTCTAACTATTTCTTGAGTTTTCTTATGTAAGCTTGAAAGAAGAAAACCATGATTCTGCATAATTTTATGCTCATTTTAATTTTCTTATTTCACATCAGTATAAATAGGGAGAAATAAAGACAAATGATCAAAATTAGCGGCATCTGTATGAGCAAGTCAACCGGTAGGAACAATTGACGAGTAAACATCTTCTTATTTTCCAGTAATTCTTCAGATGGTTTTAGTGGGTAGTAAAAACTATTCTTTCTAAAAATCTCTAACTATTTACGAAATACATAGGTTATATATGTTCTTCTTAAATATGATCATTTATTAGGCATCCAAACTATAATTTTATCTGTTTATATACAAAAAATATGATACATTCAACTTACATTCAAATAATAATGATTTGCACTAGTAAAAAGAATAAGCTGAGTATTCTACAACCTATAACCAATATTTTTGGATCAGAACCGTCAAAATCAAATTATCTCAAAAATTCAAGTTGCTGAGATGTTTTTCAACAGAGACAGTTGGTGATGATTTGTACGTTAAACTAGTGAAATAAAAAAAAACCTGCTATTAGTAAATACAAACAGTACACAGTTCTTCATAGTGCTTAGAAGTAAATTTTTATCAGGCACACACTTCATTAATAAACTCATTTTCGTGGAACTTTGGAAATGCTTGTTACCTAGTATATCATTCCTGTTTACTGAACATTAGTGAACCTACAATACGGGAAGGATATAAAATAATGTTTTTTTCTTTCTTCTTCCTACATACTAAAAATGAACCTGGTACAGCTGAATATTCACTTAAAATGTCATGAAATATGAGTCTTCATCACTTTTTTTCTATAAAGAAAAGTGATCTAGTATACGTAAATTCATCATACTGTCGGAGATATATAGAAAGTAATGACTTGATGTACTGCAGAAAAATCCTTATTAAACAAGAAAAATTAGAGTTTTTGATTAGTCACCTATTGTTTACTAATATTTTTAATAATGCAAAGCAATATAGACATTTGAACCACAAAAAATTTAGCATTCTGTACTACAGTACAACAGGATGTTTAATGCACGTTCATAAACAATTACAGTTATCAAGATATATGAATTTAAAATCTTTGTCAGCATTATTGAAAAAAGACTAGCCGACTACCGGTTGCTGGTTGTCGACTATATATATTCCACCGATCGGTTCACTTGCATGAGCACATCTTGCAGCAGTTGAACAGCAATGTTCCTGTCTTCGACACTGAAGAAGCATACTCTAATTTCAAAAATGAATTTTACATTCATCTTTACTCTAAATAACCCTTATTGACTGGTGGCTCTGAATGATCAAATAGGTTAGATTCAGTACCTTTAACACGCTGTTTCAAAACAAATTATCTTACGATTACGGCAGTAGTAATTTTAAAATATGAATTTCTCAAAAATGCATTTTGTAATGAAACTAATAAGCCTACAATTACTATAGCACATTCCTCAGATAAAATAAAATTACTGTACCCTTCAACCCACATTAAATTTTGAAAGTAAAACATGCAAGCTACACATGCCATATAATCTACATAGATCAACTCCAAACAGTCTTTATCTGAAACAGTACCTGGTAAGTGCCTTCATTTTTGCTCAGCTAACCAACAAAGATACTAAGATACGTTAGTAAATCCAATGCATAACCAACTTTTTATTTTTTTTCAGAATAGCCGATGATCTCGACTTATACATCCTCCGTTATAAACAGTTTGGACGGGAATTTCCTAAAACTGTCAATATGAGTCCTGATTCATTCATACAGTTAGCTTTACAGCTGGCCCATTTCAAGTAAGTTTCTACATTACAATATATTGATGTATACTTTAACGCGGAATCTTTGAGACCTATTTCAGTGTTTTACACAATGATTTTAAGCTCACTAAACACCATAAATGGAATAAGAACAAAATGGCATGACACGTGAGGAAGACTTAATTTTCTTGAAGAATAAAATATTGTGGGAAATAACTAACAGAAGGGTCGATACGATAAGGTTAGTGGCCTGGAAAAAGGGTAGCTGACCGACTATTAAAAAAGGTTAGACGTGCAGCGGAATATCTCAGGACTGAAAACGTAAACAGGATACAATAATTCGTGTGTAGATGACTCAGAGATCTAGATAACTTCACTAACGTAATCGTATATATATATATATATATATATATATATATATATATATATATATATATATATAAAAGTCCGAATTACGTATTGAAGTAATTGTTAGCAGATATAGGATACATACCAGATCAAGATCACATAAGTCATCTCACTGGATGTTTTACTTAAAAAACATTCCTCCTCAGCATACCAGCTTCGTTTAGTGCGTTTGTCAAAGTAGTTGAGCCCTCAATCGATAGACTTATACCAGTGCTAAACACTAAGGAATATATTCCAACGTGGGTTACTCACTGACCACTAACTCGTGTACACAATCCAGTTTTACAAGTAGTCAGCTGTGGCTCAGTAGCTCAGCAGGTTTGAGTTACCAGGGAAACACTAGCTAGTTTTAGAAACGTCCTACTAATAAGGGCCAATCAGCAGAAAACCTTGGTTCAAGGCTTCCTGCCAGTTGGCTTCAACCATCTTATTTATCAGTGTGTTAAAATAAAATGTTCTTGTCCACGGAATAATCAATAAATGGTAGGAAGACCAATCGTTAAATACTTATGAAAGAAAGCCAATTCCTCAAGTTCCGTTGAGTGATAACAGTGCATAAGCCATTAACGAAATAATTCAAAACTAAGAGTCATTAGGCAGCTGATAAACATATTATATGTAAAAGAGGTTTTATATTACTTGAAGAAATGTGGAGCAAGAAATATTATAACCTGCAGTTACCTGTTAGATAAAAATATAGTCACTTCAATAGGGGACATATGAACCTTGAGCGAATAAAACATTCCTAAACTTGACTACCTCATCATTAACATTCTTTTACGATCAGTCTTTTGGATAAATTCTGCTTCCAATTCAACTTATGCGCATAAAACACCTGCTGATGTAGGCTACTTAGCTCTTCTCCTCAAGTGAATTCAAGAAGTAGATTTCTACCTGTGTATTATGAAGAACTGACTTAACTTTCAAAATAAGGCTACTAGTATGTTTACAACAATTTATAATCTGAGGTTAGCAATAAAAATAACATGTAATGTAATGGAGTTCAAGGTTTTGAAAAAAGCAACAATTTTTTTTCAGAATTACGCTAATATATGATACAATGAACGGAAAATTCATCATAGCCAAAAGAACCAACCGATAAACAACTCCTGATAGTATCAATAATAAAAACTACTTCATGCTCTATTAACTATCCAGTGTTAAAGGGTAAAGCATATAACACTTATTCATCTCGCAATCACGCATTCACTCTATACAGTGTTTTTTAATTCCTAAAAGTTAAGTTTCATCATCCGTGCATATCATATCAACTGATAAAGACCAAAATCTCTAAAGGAAGAACTACTTTCATTTGTGAGATAAGTACACATTGAGGATATATGCTATAAAACCAAGAAACGTTGGTGCAAAATGCTTAAATGGGCTGTCTGCAGCCACTCAACACCAAGTTAAAGTAGCCAAGTGGGACAAGAAATGCATGAGCGTAGAGCCTATATATATATATATATATATATATATATATATATATATATATATATATATATATATATAAGTGAAACCCTCTTCTGTAGAATTTGCCCAAACCAGGAGTTAATTAAACCAATAATTCGTACCACAAATGAATTTTCAATTGCATTTCAACTTGCTGAGCTTCTATTAGACCACCTATTTGAACAATGGAGCTGATATCCAAAGTACTTTTATATCTTGTTGAGTATTTCGCAATCAGCAGTATAATATTTACAACTTGAATTCTTTTACTAGCTCATTGTTTTCAGTGCTGATAGATTCCCCCTATAAAAGCATAAATATGTAAGCAGAAGTTGAAATCCTCGATTTCATTTCACTTTTATGATATTCCTTTATAATTTTCTGTGAGTTATATGGCCTGAAATACTACCGTTGCACACTCAACTCTGATCATATGTAATATTAGTCATAAGTGTAAATCTCACACAAACGTACATATTTAAAATGGATTTTCGCTAATAATAATGAGTTGTCTTTCATGCTTTCAAGGCTAAAATACTGTTCCTGTGGAAATAGTCATGTAGGGCATACGATTAAGCAGGTGCAACCTCGGATACGAGGACATTTACCAGCTTGGTTTGGAAAGGGTGCAGTGAAAGTGGTGAAATGTTCAGTCTTAGCACATCTAGTTGACACAAGGCATCACATAGATGCTTATAAAGCTTTCAGTGTCATTCATCGTGTTCCGAAAACAGCACCACGTGTAGCGCACCAACATCTGTTCAACATAGTGGAGGCTGTCGAAATAAAATTGATAGAGCCTGAACTCTGCATTTAGAAAGAACATGTATTCCAAGTGTTACTTTTCCCTTGACCTTCAGCTAACTAAAGGCCATTCTTGCCATCTTATTCCTTATGTTTTTAATCATTATGATATCATTCTTCTGTATATGCATAATCACAATATTGACTAATTTAAAAAAGATAAATCGATTTCCTTGAAATTTCTGTGTTCTTTTTCCATTTTGAAAATGTGACTGCCCACAACATGGCTTGTTATTTATGCTGTACAAATGCATTTTGTGATTGTAGAACCTGTAGAGAATTTATTGAAAAGGATATTCTTCGTTCAGATTGTTGCTTTTTAAAGCATTGAAGTACATGATTGGAAAATCAGCAAAAGTAGACAGAATCACTATTGCATCAAGGTCATAGACGACATTTGCTTAGAAAACGTAGAGGAAACTAAACGTCAATTTCTTTTAATCTCTAAACACTATATGTAAGATTGCATGACCAATTCAGTAGTCTAATTGATTACGATGTAGAGTCTTTTAACCTGATGAAAGTCCTACAGTTTTATAGATAAAATTTGATCAAAATGCAAAAATAGACAAACTAACAATAGATAGCATCCATAGCATTAGTGTATCCAATCCATCCTAACAATGACAATCTCTATGACATATGATTGTTTGTGCGATTTTGGACACCTGAAGAATCATTTTTTTTTTTAAACTGAGAACATATCTACTTAATAGATGCATACGAGCCTGATATCCAGTTAATGGGCAGTTTCTCACTAATTGCTTGCAACAGCATAAAATCTAATAAAACTGAACGAAACAAATGATAGATATCAAATGCCACCTACAACTTAAATTCGGCACCGATCATTAATTGATAGTTTTTTCGTACACCTCATTCTTCAAACTTTTGGCTGCTTGCGTCATAATTTTTATTTACTAGGGAAAAAACACATTACATTGTCATCTTTTGCAATGAAATGAATACCATAGAAACACTCTCATTCTGATGGATTTAAAAAAGATTACGGTGAATTTCTTGAATAAAATTTTCATACTAATTAATTTCGTTGATAACAGAAAAGCCATTTGTTTCTAATGGTTAGGTAAATACTTTATAAAGACTTTTGAGTATTGGTTGATTAGTATTTAGATACACTTAGTCAGTATTCATCTACATGAAGTATCTCTCACCAATTAATTTGGACTAAGCAACAACAAAATTAAGTGGATCATTGCTTTTTAATATTGTCTACAAACACAACAGTCATTTATTGCAAAGTATGTTAAAACAATGTTTTCTTAAAGGTTTCAATGTCAGTGGGACTATAAAATCTTTTGGATATTGTCACATACTTTTGATAGAAGCTGTAGTTTTGCACAATTTTATGGGTCTTGAAAACACAATATTTGCATTTGAATCATATCCAAACCTAGTGAAAAACTATAAATGATATCGGTAAAGCTAAAAATATTGTGTCAGATAACATACATATCATTGACATGTATCCTAACAGGGGGAAATGTAAACTGATAATCATTAAAATCTTTCTTCAATAAAGTGAAAATGGTCAGCTAATTGTCACTGTTCGCCTGACTCTTCAATATGACTTTAAACACTATGTTCCGCAGCACAAACATATGACCAAAAAGACGAACAAGTATTTATTATGCATCGATTGTGAGTAATCCGACTGATAATAAAGACTTGATATGAGCATACTTCTCAGGATATAATAAGGACTACTTGCTTAGTAAGTAAAGACAATTAATTTGACATTATTATGTAGTGCTTTCTCAATTATAAAACTCTTAAAAGTAAGCAAGTTTAATATTGGTATTTTTCCTCTTCAACTTTTTTATGCATAACAGACTGCATAACTATCTGGTTCCAACTTATGAAAGCGCTTCAATAAGACGATTTGCTCTAGCTCGAGTAGATAATATTAGAGCCTGTTCAATGCCAGCACTAGAATGGTGTAAATCAATGACCGGTCAAACAAAGTGTACAGTAAGTAATATTGATTATTGTGACAACACATCTTGAGTACAATGCGCTTTTAAAAAGTTATAGAATGGTGCAGTATATACTGTGACCAGTTACTTATGTATCGGTACAGTGGTTCAAACACATATTGGCCAAGTAGAAGAATTTAATATTACCAGAAGGCTAGGCAAAAAAAGAGTGTAGTTTAACAAAAATCCTTTACATTCAATGTGCGAATTGATTCAGAATCATGGTTTTCATAAATGTCATCAAGTAGGTTTCATAATAAAAAAAATGAGTAGCTAAGTGAAACCAATTTTATTTAACCACAAACTTTCCAAGCAAGATTAAATCAAAACGATGTACACACTGTCAACCAATTTCCTTTTGCAAACCCACTTCAGATCATCAAGTGAATCTAGCTAGTTTAATACAATAAGCTGGTCAGTATCAGTGGTCGGTGAAAATAAAGAAAATAATTAAAACTTTGAATGGGAATCCTACTGAATTTACAGTCCTTGTTATAAACCGGTTAACTGCAAGATATTTCGACATGAAGTTCATAATTTTGAAATGTTTCTCATATATATTCGAACTATTTGGACAGAAACAATTTCACAATGTCCATATTCTATCCAACGGATACCAAACATTGTAATTTATAAACAAACCATATCGACCACAAAACACTCAAACTTGAACCAGTTACTATCATCAAATTAAGAGTTAAATTAAGAGTTTATCACCCTACAAGAAAATCATATATATTTATCTGATACATAGCTTAAGTTATTTATCAACCTATAATAAGATACTTTTTCGCTCTTGAAGAGAAGCGAGTAAATGTCTAATTTAAATCGGCTTATTTTCAACACTTTATCAGTTATTAACTAAGTACAACATTCAAACCAGTTTATCAGAACCAAGTTATTTCAGAAAATTAGATCAATTGTTAGTCAGTCACTTCCCCTCTGGAATCCTTTTCAATTTCAATTGAGATGAGCAGACCTGGTTCAGCAACTGATTTGATGATCGACATTAAGTGACTGCATACCACTCACACTTTGATGGAAACATTTTTGAGTAACTGAATGGAATTTGGGACAGTGTCAGCATCAGAATGGTGTATTCAGTTAGTAGAACAGAGAGTTGGAAACCTGTGGACTGAAAATTTAAACATTGGTCATTAATTCCTTATAAAGATAATGGTTCTGTGTCAATACTAAGTTGTATTATTCACTAAAGGTGCGATGAGAGATAATGTGAAATTTCTTCATAAGTTTGTTTGATTGGCCACTATTGTCTATTATTGTTACTGACATCGATTACAACAGATATTTGTCAACTTGTAGTTTAAATTACTTTTTCTATTCAGGCCGACGAAAAAATTCATCTTTTACGTAAAGCAATGGAATGGCAGACTGAAATTATGCTTGAAACCATCTTAGGTCATGGGGTAGATAATCATTTATTGGGCTTACGGCAGATAGCATTAACTCATGCAAGACAACTGCCAAGTATCTTCACCGATCCAAGTTATATGGAATCAAATAGGTTCCGGTTATCAACAAGTCAGGTGAGCTGATTATTGTTAGAATGCCTTCTTTTTTATCTTTAATATATCCAGTCCAAAAAGTCAGGAAATGATAGTCATTTTTTACAAAGAAAACGAAGATTTTGACTTAGCGGCCTCTGACTCACCAGTCCAGCGCTTTGGTGAGTAAATCAAGACACTTTATCTTAATTTTAGTCAAAAATCTCAAGCGTTTACTAAATCTGTAACCCAGTAGTCACCAGTTCTATTTTTGCCACTGCTTGGGTTTTATTCCAACCTCATTTCATAATTCATTTAGTTTCGAATCTGTTTGGAAAACCAAAACTACCTCAAAAAGTTCTACCAGCAAGGAAGAATACTGCTTACAGTCTTTACTCGACGTTAGCTAAGATTAATCCCTAAAATCTAACCAAAATGTTTCGCTATCGGCTACCAGTAGTTTTATGTGTGTGCATACTACCATTCTCTGTGGATGAAATTGTTTCAACAATAGTCTAATGTTCTGCTGGTTTATGAGGCAAGTGCTAACGAATTAATCTGGCCGTGAGAAGTTCATCTTGAAATATCGAAATCCAGAGAAAAAGTACCGTTCTAATTCTCAGCTACGAATTTTCTCTACTCATCTAATACCGAAGTTTATTGAGTACATCAGAAAAGTTTTCCTATTATCTTCATGACTTCACAACTGAAATAAGAGCCATTATCAAAACAAATCTTCATATTAGTGATTTCACTTTACGAATTAGTTTACATGAAACGATTATTTATGCATGAGATAAGGCGAATAGACCTTTATTACAATAAATAAATTCAGAGGTGATTGCATGATTCTGTTTCACTGATCATTCAAGCCCCGAAACAATGGTGCACATCGCATTGCACCGATAGGGTTTGGATAGTGTTTGAACGAAGTTAGAAGGAATGTTAGCGTCAAATTACTAGTCGCAAGAACGAAAGTTGAACTTTTTGATCTAGAAGAGAACTTAATTGTCCGGGGACTATCTCAGCATGAAAAGCCTGTCTTTTAGATAATAAAGTTTTAAACAACCATCTTTTCAAGGTAAATTTACGTTGAAGAAGACGTCATAATTATGATTATAGAATGTAGCTCCATCATTTGGGACCACATATACTGAAATTTAAAATAACTGGTTGAGGTCTTCATAGGGATTGAAACAGCGTTTGGAAATTCTAAGTCAAAGTGTATAATTTCAATACGTATCGCACAGATAGATTTCCTTTTAAGCTTCACATGAACAACTACCCTCAGTGTGTTCCTTTCTAAATCCAGTTTTCCCTCATCACCTTAATCTTATCACCGCTCACAGTTCTCCGTCAGTTGATACCGATCCCTTTTAAATGTAATGAAAAGAAAATATATTCTAAATCAAACCACTTTTGTATTGTGTCCAACGTTGAGCCATTAATAAAACTTGGTTATATAGCCTAATAGTATGGAATATTTTCACATCAAACCTTCTTTAGAAAGAATGAAAACTCAGAAGACACAAATAGCGTTGAAGAATAAAAAATAAATCACACTTGTTTATTGTGGTAATCATTTTGATTCATGCAACCACTAGGTTCACAAAAATATATAGACAGAATCACAGGAACTACTGATAACAATTAAAGCATATGAAGAGATTTTTAAGATTTATTTATTAACTAATTTACTGATTAAAATGCGAAATGTTCATGAGCTAATTTGAACTCAGTCAATGACCGGAATTTTTTGCCGTAACCGTTTTCATTTATCACTGACTGCAAGACTACGGATTAATCAAACACTTACAAAAGAAATCCTCGCCATCTCGATCAGCCTCCTGAACTTAATTAGTTCAGAGGAATTCTATCGTAAAAGTAAACTGAAATAAAACTTCAGTCAGCTTTTTTTTAACTCAGGCGAATGATTATTCCAGCCGTGTAGTGTAAATGAGATAACTTACTGTGATGCTATCGATACGACATTGGACATTGTTGATCAATAAAAAACGAAATTAACTCAGCAACCATGTGCACTTTCGTGTAATGTACGCACACCTATTGTGTGATACCAGCTGGCTGCCCACACTTTAGTAGGTGCAGCAGGTTTGAACATGTGACCTACTGGTTGAATACCTAGCGTCTAAATCGATGAGCCGTGAAAAGAAGATTTTCAACATTACTAACATTTTTCGTAGGTTGATAACATTGAGTAACAAATGAAACAATGACATTAGTTCTTCTACATGTGGCAGACAGCTTTTGCCTGTGTACAATCCTCAACTTGGAGACTCACCGAATGAATGCTTGCTGGTGAAAGGATTGTCATCTAGTTTGTCCAAATAGTGTTGTATTTCCGTCTGTTTCTGAAACTGATAACGAATTACAAACTACTCAAGTTATTATAGCCTTCAAATCATCAGTGAAGTGATATGGTAAACTGTTGTGGAGTTTCCAAGTTAGGTGCTATACTTTAAGTTAATTTCTTCAACAGCGGATATACGACAGTCTCTAAGACCAGTCATGAGTCATTTATGTGGATTACTATTTTTAAAAACCCATAAGTTATTGCAGATAGAAATTTATTGCTAAGCATCAATATCTCTATACTTTGGATTCTTTATGTAAACAGTTACCCTGATGGCATCCATTGTGTTACAATGTCTTATTTGCACTTATGTAAAGTTTCCAATAAGTTCCAGGTGTTAAGCAAGTGGATAGTTTAGTCTCCAACTCGTGAATGTTTGACATAAAGTTTTCTTAAAACAAGTAAATAGTACCGCTTCGAAGCAAAATTGAACATCTTAATGGTATATTACTAAAAAGCACTTTCAAAGTCAAATAAGGAATGTGGGTAGTTAAACTAGGGAACAAAGTCTTTTTGTTCCTTCCAGTTTTAGATCTCCACATAAATAGTGGAGCAGCATACGTAAATTTTTTGCACTTCATGTCATTTGTCGCGATATGGAATAGAATGTTTGTCAAAGCGTAAATACGTCTGACGTGGTAACTAGTAGTTAGTGGATTAAGATGAGTTTCAGTTGCAAAACGTTTATTGTGAAGCTAGACACTAGTCATTAATATGAACTGAATCCTGTGCAGAGCTGTACTAATTACGTCACTCACAAGAACAGGTAAATTTTCAAGCTGGATATCCATAATATTATTGGACAAATACATTCTTAGTTGATTGATAACAAGAGGTGAAGTGAAAGGGTTACATTTTAGTTCTTAAATTATGTTAATCATGCAGTGATACAACATTTACTGGATGGCATTTCGAATACAATTCAGTTCTCATAACCATACGAACAATATTAACAATCAGTAATGCTCCAGTTGTATGTAATCCAGTAAATCATGCCGTTTCATTGTTTGATAAAAAAAACTTTACAGTAAGCGCACTCAAACACGTTGCCCAAATTCTACTCTTATATGAATTTAAAGCATTTCATGAATTATTTGAACTTGTAGAGAAATAAAGTTAGCAGACTCAAATAGAGTCTGCTATTTTATTACTTGATAATAATAAATACTGATGTAGGAAAGAATGTATGTAAGTGAACTCGAATTGTTAATGTTGAGCAACAAAGCACGAACTAACCGCCTATTTCATCTCTTTGAACCTGTATATCAGCAAAAATAACAATATTGATTTCATGAAGAACTGTTTTTTTTCTCACTTTCCTCATGAATAAAATCATGAATTTCAATGAACAAAAGTTTTAGTCTTCAGTAGAAAAAGAGTGAAGCAATAAATTTTACTTGAAACTATTGACAATTTCGTGTGATTCAAAAGAGGAACACCCACACTCACAAACAAAAACAAGCACGCCTATATGGGTTAATTAATGGGCACTCGAATGAACACATATACGAAATTATTTATACGTGCATATAAAAAGTGAGTCTTTCAATCTACGAATGCACGAACTGAAAGATAGTGACAAATATAACAGTTTAAAGAGGTGAAGATTTAAAGATGAGAAAAAGAAAACGCTTTCTCGTAAATTTCATGCCTAAGGCTGTAAAATATTAAAAACTAGGAATCCAAGGTGGGTAGTTTTAAATTTCACAATGATGTGCATATAAGAATTGCCCAGTCCAAAAACTAATTATCACGAAACGAAAAATGCCATCTCTTCATCACATTTTCACAAATAGATTCTAATATATTATCATCAAGCAATATGGAACTTTTGAAGAAAAAAGCTGGAACCTTGTGGTTGCATGTTAAGTTAGACTTTACATGAAAATTTAAAATCACCCTAATTTGGCTAGTTAGCTCGTTAGAAACTGACGTATTAGAATGCTAAAATGGGGGAAATTTATGCGCCGTAAGATGTTAATGAATTGTTTCAACAATTATGTTTAGCTCATTACAATCAACATATTGTTAGTGGTAAACAATCACTTGGATGAACAAACCTAAATTGACCATTTTACTTTGTGCAAGAACTAGATGTAAATTCCGGCTCTTAAGTTTTTCAGTAACAATGAAATATATTTCTAACAACAATTATTTTACTTATAAGTAGCTAACACAAATAAACTAAAGTATTACCGAATGTAGATATTCCTGTAATTCTGTTGTTATATTGGATCGAATTGATCGACCTCTGTTGGCATATGTGCTTCTATGCTGATGCCTGGACATTGCCTGAATAGCCAGCATATTGTAATTCTTCTAGTGCCTCAGTGGCCTAGCGGATAACGCTTTGGCATTTGAAGTGATAAGTACGAGATTCGAGTCTCATAGGGAACAACACTCACTGGTCTGTAGGCATATCCAGCTGGTGAGTCCCAAATCAGACGGAAAGCGGGTCGCAGATTCCTATATTAGCCGCCAATAACTAATTTAAGGCTAAGGTATTGCTAAATATAAATCACCCATGTTTTAGGACCTCTTTTCTCACAACAACTACTTATTGAAATACGTAAGTATGCATATATCATAAAAATCTGACGTAGAAGTGCATCATAAATTGTACAACTAATGAATGGATATCTTCTCGTAATGACCCATCATTTCTGACATTTTGTGGATGGAAACTGTTATGGTTAGAACCAAATGGTAGTAGATTATTTCGCAATTACGAGAAACAAAACTATCTTTCTCAAGGTTTTGCGTCAAACTTCATCCAGTTTCATTGCGAATCGCTTGGTGTAAATCCAGTCAAATAGTCTTAATCAAAGGCGATTCTACTTACTGTAAGTCTCAAGAATGGTAGTTTGATCAATCAATATTTTTTTAAAGCAACGAAATAATGAAGCTCGCAAACGAATTGTTCATAATCGCAACGGTTTTACTACATCAAAGAGATTTAGAGATACTAGAGGCAAATAAATTTGACTCATTTGCGGATGGATGGCTTAGGTGATATTTTCCACTCTTTGGTCACTCAGATTTATTATGAAAAGGTTGTACTCGGCGAAAAATAGTGCCAATTCAAATTATTGCAGTGTGAAACAGATAAATGAATCAGAAACAAACTAAGATAAAAAATTCGGGGAGAAAAATTGAATTTGTAGACACCAAACAATAATATAGATGAAGTTGCGGGTGAAACAAAATGCACCATATCTTTTAAATAGAATTGGAGACACTAGTTTCCATTTTCAGTCTGTGATTCCTAATATCTCGTAGTCATTTTCTTATAGTACAATGGCCTGAAGATAAATCAGAGCTACTGTGAGCAAGATCTGACAAGATCTAAATCCCCTTTCCTGAAACCTCTTTTACTGTAGTTTTACTCTTACCAACATGGTAAATTCAAAACGCTACGTATAATTCTAAACAAACTACTAGATGGCAATGACATCATATCTTCTAGTTAACCTGAACATTGCTGAATCGGTAATCTCATCACATGTGAATTCTGATGTCATGGAAATTTGACGGAGTATATGTCACCTTTTTTGCCTGTTTATTCGAAATGTCACACAGTGAAACAGTATTACTTACCGGAAAACGTTTCGGATATAATTTTTTGTCTATATTCATATCATATTCATCCATATTCATGCCATATGATATGAATGTGGACAACAAATTATGTCCGAAACGTTGTCCGATATGTAATACTGTTTCACCATATGAACTTTCTAATAAACAGACAATATGGAATTACAGTCTAATACAGTGCCCAGTTTACCCTTCGTATTAAGGAGAATACATTACCCGCACATGTTACTAAGCATCGATATGAACTTGCTGCTGTCCTAAATCGGAAACTTAACATAAGGTGTGAGTTATTTCGTCCAATAGTAAATAGAGTCAGAGAATTCCAACAGACCTGTTGACATCTGTCATGACCTTTCATGAACTAGCGCAGCTAAACAAATCGATCAAGCAGTGAAAATGGTCATTTAAGCTATTTTCCGTAGTTAGACTGTGTGACCAGTCGTCATGTTGTTAAAGTTTTACATTTCAGGAATACCTCATATATGCAACTATATACCAATCAAATTTGTTTTTTGATACTTTTATTATTTTATATCTATAGGTACCTACAACAATGGACGCATTTATGTGTTATGGAGCCGTTGTACCCAATGGATATGGTGCGGCATATAATCCGCATCCTGACAATATAGTTGTCAGCATCTCATGTTGGCGTACGAATCCAGATAATAGTGCATCGAGATTTGCAGAAATGCTCGATTCAGCCTTAACTGAAATGCGTGAATTAGTCCTAACTAATCCTGTACTAGCAAAACAACCATCCAATGAGCCCGTTGAATGGAGTATAGCTAAATCATTGGGTGCTGAAGTAGGGTTAAATGTTACCGCATAAATAAATCATTGAGAAAGCATAATAAAACAAGCTATGGACTTATTTTTAGCGCCATAAGATTTTATTTCTTTCACCAGAAAAAAACTGTTTATTTTAGTCTCTCCCATTCTTTTGTGATCTCTGATTATTTTCCTTTCTTTTCTGGTATATTTAAACAAAGTAATTATTATTTAGAAAAGAGGATAACTAGATTATTGATAGAATTTTGAGAAAAAAAAAGAAATTTAAACAGTTCTTCATGATCTCCTTACGTGTTATGATAAGAGTTTGAAAGAGACTACTTATCTTATGGTTATTTCCCTGTTACATTTCACTCAAAGGTATCAGTCAAAGATTCAGAATACAGTATGTAATCTGTCACGTCGTAACTAACCTGAAAAGATAATTTTGACTACTACTGAAATTCAAAATCAGTAATACAAAACTATACATTCAAAGCTTTACACAGTTTCAAATCTATTAGGTAAAAAACGTTGGTAGCCCATTATTTTATGCTCATCTAATATACAAAAACTTAACTGCTTATTTTTACTCTCATTCCCAGAAATTATTCATTGTATTAACTATTATTTCATACAATTTAAAAGTTATTATCACTTTATTTGTCTGTTTTTTCGGTTCATTTTTTATGGTTATCTATTTTAACCTTTGTTTATATTACAAATTATACACAAGAAAGTATGGATAATGTTTATATTTATTTATATTTATATATCATAAATATTTTTAAAGAGATTGAAATCAATCTCACATTCACCTTCAATCATGTATACCCCTCAGGTTGTGAAATGTACAAATCATAATTCAATGGTTAATGTATTAATTACAATTACCATTATTTGCTTACTTATTTTTAATTAGTAAACAAAAATGAAACTTAGGTTCATAAAATCTTACTTATACGCAAGGTTACGTTCATTTACTGTCTCACATTAAATGAACACTGGAAATAATAAACATTAATTTACACACTGAATTTATTACCACTGAAAAAATCTATGGCTGTTGCCGATAATCTTTTGATTACTTAACTTGATGTAAGTAGATTAGAAAAATTAATTTCTCCTTCCTCTTATTAAGATTATGTTTACCATTATTATTATTGTTATTATTACTGTTATCGTTACTGTTATTACTAGAATACATTAAACATGCGTATCTTATACATACATTCAAATAAAAAAACATCTGCTTCAAATGTTTTTGATCAATTCTCCTCTGGATGTTCAATCATACAACGACCGATTAGGATAGTTGTAATGCAAGTGGAATCTTCCAATTGGTTAGATAAATTAGGTTGAATGATAAGTGTGTGGAATACAATTACCCAAGAGAGATATAATACATATTCAGTATTGCATGTATTAGGAGAACATTAAACGTAAAACAACACATTGTTTGACCATTATCTGTTATTATTTGTCACTTGGGTTCCCAGTGGAACACGTAGCACGTATCCATTCCACTCTCTTCTCTGCAGTCTCTTGGACCTGGCACCACGACTGCCCAGAAGCTTTAATTTCTTCCTCACATTATTTCCACCATGTCATCCTGGCCTCGGACGTCCGACTTGTCGTTTCCCATTTGCCTCCCACTCGACGGCCTAGCCTGACACGTGATGTCCCCAATCGGCCTTCTCAGTGTATGCCCAATCCAATCCATTTTCACTTCCACATGCATATTTGTTGGGCGATGGGTTCTTGCTTCGTTGGTTCGTTGCCCAACCAGAGTGAGTTCCTTGTTGCTCATTCTAATTATTCTAGCCATCTGATCCGATCTTCAGTGTCAGTATAGAGTGGGCGTAGGCGGCAGCTGTTGGTGAATGTCTGTAGTTTGTTGGAAATGCTTTTCGTGACGCGCCAAATCTCTCAACTATTCCACAGAAGCACTGACGTGACTGACTTATTGTTGAAAATCTGGATCTTTTTCTTTATGCTGAGTTGATTGGAGTAGATCTTCACACTGATTTCAGATCAATGAACGTCTGTCTTGCTATCCTTCCGATCCTGGTTTCGATATCCTCGTCTGTGCCGCCGCCTGTATTTGAAGCCATGCTGCCTAGGTAGGTGGGTAGGTGAAAGAGACTAGTTCCTTTAAGTCTATCCCACTGATGGTGACTGGTGTTTGTTGCTGCTGTTGTTGGTTGGGTGTCTTCATCACCTTCGTCTTCTCTGCATTCACTTGAAGTCCCGTCTCCGCTGCCTCGTCTCGCCTCTTCTGTGAACTTGTTAGTTTACGCCTGTAGATTTTCGAGTTTGTGTGATGAGACATTAAACATAAATCATCATAGATGCAGCCAGCGTATGCCCATCTTCCCGCTCCTCAATCTCTGCTTCATGATCCAGTCCACTACAATCAGGAAGATCATGGGTGATAGCAGGCAGTCTTGTCTTACTCCTGTCCCCTGGTCTTAACTTCAAAGGCATCACTGAGCTTCCATTGTGAATTACTTGGCATATGGCGTCTTCATATAGCTATTGAACGATAAGGGTTTGTGACACTAAACCCATGGTGTTGAAGCAACTGCCTGTCAAATTACTTCTCGGTCGACGCTGTCGAAAGCCTTTTCAAAATCGATGAAGTTGAGGTAGAGAGTTGACTGATATTCTATGCTCTGTTCTGCGATGATGCGTAGCGTTGCAATTTGATCCTCACATGCTTTGTTCTTCCTGAAGCCATCCTGTTTCGGTCGTAGTTTTGAATCTAGCACATCCTTTACTCTCCTCAGGATGATGCGGCTTGATATTTTGTTTAAGGTGAACTATATGGTTAGTAAATAATGTTGAAAACTTAATCCTTCGTTCTTTAGCGATCTGTTCAAATTAACTAGCTAGAATCAGTTTATCCGGACCGTTTAGCAGTGTAACACATTTTTGTACTCATGAACTACTTGCAAACCTGACTGCAAGTGTGTAAACCAAATGTTTGTAGAAAGTTAACATTACTATACACATCATACAGTTTCTTTTGTTCACTTCCATTACAAGTGCAGTTGTAGGTGTAATAAAATTAGGGCAAGCGTGTATCCATTACACAAAGAGCTAGTAGGTATAGTACTCAGGGTCCTTGAAATATAAATTATAACTAGACAATAATCTCTGTGGAGTACCCAATGCAAACAGGTCACAGATTCATGTTTGATTTTTGGCGTGTAGTACTATCAGCGCACCTATCAAGATCACTAAGAGTAGGCTAGTTGTCAGGCATTTACAACGGATGCATTTACTAGCTCATTCAAATACTATTTTATGCAACATGATTTTAATTCTAAGAAAACATAAATAATTGTTACCTTTGCACTTAAATCGTTCACTTTTAAAATTTACTGGAGTAAGTGATTGTAAGAATTTAACTGTCTTAAATGAGGAGGATGTCTGTAGTTCAAAGAAGAGATGGGTTTTAGTGAGATATCCTTAACTTCAATCTCCACACAGTTTGTAAAGACTCGTCTCTTAACCGCAGCTATTTCACGAGTTCTGTCAAAAAAATCACAAATGAATGTAGTTCAGATCGATTATTTCAATCTGCCCGGGCGGATATTGCGACGAAAAAACAAGTCATTCTACAACTCGTGTTCACTCGAAAACTTGATAACAGACTAGATGAGCGAAGTTAAAATGACACTCATTTGGCAGTTTGTTCTGTTGTCTTAGTCTACAAAGTGGCTAACTAACAACTTGGGCGTTTCTGGCTGGTATTCCGCTGAATGCGAAGTTCTCTTTCAACTTCAGCTATCATTCTTGAGGGCGAAGTTTTATGCTACATCTAAAGCTGTCAGGTCAGGTGGTAGAAGACCGGAATATCCCGGATGAAAATCTTCAATAGCTATTAGGTATAAGTTAGTTTCTCTTTCACCAGTCAAAAAATGAATTCAGCTACGTTTCAGTGAAATGCATCGATGAAGTTAATCCTCAGTTCATAAATTTAGTGTCATTAAAGCGACGTAAACTCCATAACGAGTAAATTGGATAACGCTCTGAACAGTATGTTAATGAGAATTAGATTATGAAAGACAACAAAAAACTAAAGATTAAGATTTTACGAAAAAAAAACACTGACAGATAGCTAGATTATCACTCTGGATATCCTGTGACTAAAGTAACCGTCGCACGGAATCTAATCAACAGGGTTAACCATCTTGTTATAACGCAAGAGTTGGTTTGTTGCAAAATTGAAGCAAAACAGTTATCCCAAAGGATTTGTAAAACGCATTTAAAAAAATGAAATTAGGAAGGTACCGAAACTCCCTCCAAAAAACAGGATAAGAACTGTCATAAACCCATAACTTAAGGAGGCATCAGAAGAAGTAAGAAGGATTCTCAGCAAACATGACACAAGAGTTTACTCTCGTGCAACACACAGTAGAAATAGGACACAAAATTGACTTTGACGGAACTAAGGTTCTAGGTCATACTAAGAAAGATAGACAGACCAAGCCCTACAAACATATAAACGAATGCAGACGGTTTCAACAGACGACATGAAGTACAGATGGCTGCCTCTTGGAGATTACTAAATAGTAAGCAGAAAGAGTGAATCAGTATTTAACGTCAACAACAGTTTATACTTCATTATTTCTCTATCAACAACAAATCTGTATTGACAAGATTCACTATTAGATTCAAAATCATAATCTCCATAAATATCATTTGAGACTTCCACTCCATTTCCCACAAACAAACGCGGAAAATTCCCCAAGTCCTCGTTACCATATTCCAACTAAAACAGAATACATACCCATGTCATACACTTCATGGTACCCAAAAACTTACGAAAAAAACAAAGGTACCTGCAAAACAAATTGCATGAAAATCACAAAGCACACATACATACATACATACATGCATTCACCGGTGAATTTTTGTCGTATTTCATTTTCATGCAATAGCAGACGGAGTGAAACTGAAACCTTCTCCAATATCAGGAGTCCATTTTTTTCGTTAAATGCTTTTCTGAACCTCCGAATTAACTCTATTAGATACCAACCTGTCTAAGGATCTGCTCAATATTGGATAATTCGTGTTTTTGAGTGTATACTTTGGCAACATTCTCGTTATGATTTTGAATTTTGCTTGAATTAAACCTCATTTTCTAACTGAATTGCTGACCTGTTTATATATCTATTTTATGTATGGATTTCTCAACAATACCTTATTTCTATGTAATGCTCATCAAACCGAAAACTGGAGTCGGTTTAAAATCTTTAGATTCGATAATAAAATTCAAGTTAGACTCAGCTTAGTTGGGATTTTCAAATAATATTGATGGATAATTCATATTGTTGAGAATTTAAAAAAATAAACTTTAAAATCTGTTAAAATGTTACTTGATTGGTAGTTGAACTAAGGAGTGTAAGTTCGAGATACACCATGAATTTTCGTGCTACAAGAGTTCCTATGGGTGACCACAAGTTCACTCCTTCAGTTCACCAATATAATCACTTGTTAGACTGGAAGCGAATGCCCTCTGTACAGAGAAGCAGGGGTTGTTTCAACTCTTTTATTTTAAGTTTAAGTAAGTCATCTTAGTAACAGTCTATTTCTACAGTTTCATTTACTGGTATGCTGATAAATAATAACGAAGCAATAAACGATGATATAAACTTATCTGAGATATCTAACTGGTCCAGTTTTCGAGATACTTGCAAAGTGTCTTTCCTATTTGTGATATGTAGCAAATCTTAATAACGTTAAACCCAAGGGATGATAAGTGATAAAACGGTATAAAGCAGGGGTAAGAAATAATATATTTGTTTGATATGATTATAGGCAATTAATTCTGCTCACAACGTCTTTCAGCAAGCAACACTACTTGACTTCTTTGCATCATCAAATATGAAATTCTTTGTTAATTCACTGACTTATTAGGTCACCTTTCAATGAGTGAATTCTAAGTAAGGATCTGCTTCCACTTAGCAAAGTCATGACAGTATAGTAGTATCAAGATTTAAACAACAAGAGTGACTCACAGAACTCAATGACAAGTTGTTGAACATAAGTAGTGACTAAGTTTTTTGCCTTCTTAAAATACGAGCGTCACATCGTTTTTAAAGTATGCCATTTGTTGCATATCTACGACTTTTGTGAACAAGAATAATAAATTAATGTCGTTATTGTTCACTAAACTTATTGACTCAAATCAACCCCCATTATTGAACATGGATTATTCCTTAAGTACAACTGAACGAATAACTAACGA